TGTGAGTGAACAGGACCAACCACTGTTTCGAGGCGAGGCAATTGCTGACCTCTGGCGCATTGGCTGTTGTAGATGGTGGGTGAATAGGATCAGCCGAGGTTCTGAGACGAGGCAATTGCTGACCTCCGACGCGCTGCGCCTTGTAGCTTGTAAGTGAACAGGACCAATTAGGGTTCCGGGACGAGACAGTTGCTCACCTCTGGCCCTCTGAGTGTTGTAGGAGGTGAGCGAACAGGATCAATCACAGTTCCTTGGCGAGACGGTTGCTGACCTCCGGGCCACCGAGTGATGCAGGAGGTAACTGAACAAGATCAACCGCGGCTCTGGAACGAGACCATTGCTGACTTCTGATGGGCTGATGTTGTAGCTTGTAAGATCAACTACGTGTCTAGGACGGGATAGTTGCTGACCCCAGTCTCGCTGATCAGCGAGTGAGCGAACATCACCAACCACGATTCTATCACGGAATAGTTACTGACCCATGGCTGGGGGAATGTTGTAGGAAGTAAGTAAATAGAACCAAGGTCTTTTTTGGGGAGACGATTGCTGACCATTGGCATTCTGAGTGCTCTAGGTTGTTAGTGAATGGGATAAACCACTGTTCTGGGACAAGGCAATTGCTGACCTCTGGCTCACCGAGTGTTGCAGTGGGTAAGTGGACTAGATCAGCCCAAGCCACGGTTCTAGGGCCAGGCAATTGCTGACCTTGGGCTCGCTAACCGTTGTAGCGAGTAAGTGAACAGGGCCAATGGCGGTTCTGGGACAAAGAAATTGCTAACCTCCGGCCCCCTGAGTGTTGTAACGAGTAAGTGCCTGGGGCCTACCCCTGTTCTGGGACGAGACAACTGCTGATCACTGGCTCCCTGAGCCTTGTAGTGGGTAAGTGGACTGGATTACCCGCGGCTCTGGAACGAGAGGACTGACGTCTAGCTCGCTGGGTGTCGCAGTCGGTGAGTGGACAGGATCGGGCACGGCTCTTTGGTGAGGCAGTTACTGACCTCTGGGTCACTGAGAGTTATAGTGGGTAAGTGAACAGAATCAGCCACGGTTGGGGGTGTTACAGGTGCTGACCCCTGACTTGAGAAACGTTGTAGGAAGTAAGTAAACAAGATAAGCCACTGTTCTGGGGCAAGTGACGGTCCATTACAAGTCAATTACTGACCTCTAGTTTGCCGGGTGTTGTAGTCGGTAAGTGAGCTCGATCAGCCACCGTTGTTAGACGAGTCAACTGCTGACCTTTGTCTCGCTGAGTGTTATAGAGAGTAAGTGAATGGGATCAACTACGGTCCCCGGTCTCGGCAACTGCTGACCTCTGGATGGCTGAGTGTTGTAGGATGTGAGTGAGCCGGGTCAACCACGGTTCTGGGACGAGGGCGGGTCATTTGCTGACCTCTAGCTTGCCGAGTGCTGTAGACAGTAAGTCAGCGGGGTTAGCAGCGCTTCTGGGACAAGATAGTTTGCTGACCTCTTTCTCACCGAGCGTTGCAGACTGTAAGGGAACAGGACCAGCTGCGGTTCACAAACGAGGCAATTACTGACATCTGGCTCGATGGGTGTTGTAGCGAGTAAGTTAATAGGATCAACCACGGTTCTTGTGCTGGCAGCTATTGACCTTCGGCTCCCCGAGTGTTGCAGTTTGTAAGTGAGCCAGATCAACTACGGTTCTGGGACGAGTCAATTACTGACCTCTTGCTTGCTGCGTGTTATAGTGGGTAAGTGAACTGGACAGCCGCGGTTCTGGGAAAGCCAATTACTGAATTCTGGTTCACTGGCATTTGCAGTGGGTAGGTGGATAGTTTCAGCTACGGATCTAGGGCAAGACGCTTACTGACCTCTGGCTCGCCGAATCTTGTAGGAGGTAAGTGAGCATGTCATACACGGTTCCGAAGCGGGCAATTGCCGAAATCTGGCCCATTGAGTTTTATAGGCTGTAAGTACACAAGATCAACCAAGATTCTTGGACGTGGCTATTGCTGACCTCTGGCGTATTGAGTATTGTAGAGGGTAAGTGGACATACAATGGTTCTAAACGATGGTTCTTGCGCGAGTCAATCGCTGATGACCTGCTTCTTGGTACACTAAGGCGGTAGGCGGACCTGTACACTCTGTCATTTGTTTCTGCATTACTGACGACTCTCCCACTCTTCTAGATTGTATGTAGTCGACAATTGTTGAGGTCTTCGGGAGTGCTTGTGATTCCAGACTAACTTCACGTTTTATTCCTCCATAGGAGGTAAGCATTGTAAATCCCCTTATCACACCGCTCCCGTAAGCTAACCAATTACTACTTCCCCTCTCAGTTTGTATGCAACCTCCATTCCATCTCCTGTAGGTTATAACTGATACTTGGTATTGTGTTGCAGCTTGTTAGCAGATCTCTTTTTCCCTCTTCTTGGTTCCCCCACTAACCCATAGCCTTTCTCACAACCATTCGGGAAACACAGAAAGTGAGTAATATTATTTTATTACTACTTACACTGTCGGTACAGGATATTTGCTAACATTTCTTGTAGTCCGTGAGCCGTTCCAATTTACTGTCTTACCCTCAACATAGATTATTAACCCTCGGTAGTTTTGCATCCAGGACACGCCGGATCTGCACGCGCAGCCCAGCCCGGGCTTGTAATGCAGGGTCAAAAATGCGACCGGTGAGTACTATGTTCCTTTTTATTGTGTCCAATACTTAAATGACTTCCTAAATGTTCAATAGATTAAACGTCTCTAGTGGGTTATCGATTGGAAGCCGGTCGCTCATGCAGTGTTTACAAACGCGAATTTACTGTTTTTTGTATGCCTCATGCTATTCTACTCTAAACGTTTTGTTCCAGTGAGGGATGTGATATCCGTACCGGGGTATGGGAATTTGTGGGAATCAGCCGTAGATGACCTGTTGCGTTTCTGTTCCTATACTAGCATTTTCAAAATATGATTGCTGCGCACACCTATAAGGCGCATTGTTCGCCAGAACACTCACATCAATGCCGCTTGTTGATAAACTAAGGGTATGACGGCGGATCATGGAAAAGTCACCAGTGATCACTCAGCTTTAATCCCATAAGAAATGTCGAGTACTGTAATTTTTATTATCATAATATTATGATGTCTAAACTGGAGATGAGAGTTTGGGGTTAACGGATCGGAAATGTAGTTGGGAGGGGGAAGGAAGGGGAAAGGTGGAATAGGAAGTTCATAGGAGGGTAGGGGCGGGAAGGCTGGGTATGAATGGATCCGCTCCGGGGGAAATGGTAACAATGGCTTATTTTGGGTAAGATCTATTAGCCGGGGGGGGGGGCTAGGAATGCCTATAACTAAGGCAATCTCTCACTGGCTTGCTCTGAGGGGATTGCTGGTCAAAGGTGGTTTACCCCCCCCCCCCACATAGAGTACGAGGGTTCACGATAGGCTGCTCATAGAAAGAGCTAAAACCGTGTTCGTTGTCAGTGGTCGCAGCTGCGTTTTCCCGAGAGGCATTGAACTATTAGATTTCATGACTATTTACAATTGCTCTTAAAAGTAAATAGTGTGACTCGATAGATTCGCAAGTTATCTGTTTGAGATTGGGAAAAAATACATGGTGATAGGACCTTGGGAGAAATCGTTATTGATGCTTGGTATTCTACCTTAGTCTGCGGTCCTCAGGTGACCGGATTCAATCTCCCCTTCTAATCCCTCGGGCTCGACCACCCAGGCTTTGATTGGAGAATTGCTGTGGATTGACATCATAATATTATGGCCTGATTTTTAGTGTGGAGGGTTATTTTGTCGTAGTGATTCCGAGCGGCCGGGCTGACCCACACTTTTGGCGGGATGGCTGGGCCGCGCTATGGAAAAGTGGCTTTTCAATACCCAAGTCGGTTCCGGCCTGGGTAACATGCAGGCTTTGTATGTCTGTAACATATTGTGATTCCATACCGGACGGCTTTCTAGTCATGATATGGGATGGTTATGGTGCAACTCTACCAGGTAGTAAATTTCCACAAACCTTAATTGCTCATTCTCCCTCTTTTCCCTATACAAACTCAAGTATCCTAATACCTTCTGGAAAGCTGAATTAAATCAGGGACCTGAGTTATCAGATCTTCGGTGGCAAGAAGGGATTCGCAATTGTCATGGGAAGTTACACCTGGTGAGGTCGCGGGAGTACAGTAGTAGGGATGTCATACGGGTATTCAGCTTGTGGATAAGCTGGCGGCTTTCACTCATGATAAAAGAACGATATCAGATATTCCGCATTGTTTTCACTAACTTCACTTGAATGAGAACCGCCAGCAGCCCGGAAGCTTTTGAGAAGGGTTGCGAGCTAGGAGGACGCATTAACCCCGGGATGGCGTTGACCTCGATGAGCGCCCGTGAGCCTGTCAGCTGTGGGGTTCGGACGGAGGATTGCGAGATAGGCCGGCCCATGGTAATGGTAATAGTTTTTGTTTTTGCTTTTCTATTGCCTAAGGGGCCTCCGGAGAATTGGGGACGTTGACTTGTGCTCGGGTGCTGCGTCGCGGGTAGAAACATGCCAGAACATGCACGCTTTGCAAGCAAAGAAATTTTGTTCACCTTACATAGGAACGCCTAAACAAAAGAGTAGTTTCATGTCCCTCAGATAGCCCTATGGCTAGCAGAACCACAGCCTAGAAAAAGAAAAATAACTCTGGAAGAACCAAAGGCTAACTAACAGCCAAACCGGAGAATGCTTAGATAGTTTAAGTTTGAAAAACATCTGCTCAGGATGGGGTGCTAGTGGACTCCGTGCTGGGCTTCGGCTATTAGTAAGCACCATGGTCCTCTCTGTGATCGATGCATTAGGCATGCTTGTTGGCCAGGCGGTCCAATGGCAAGCTACCATTGTAGTAATCTTGTCGGTCCCACTGTTCTCCATCGTTGGCGGATTGTTGAGCTGAAGAGTTGTGGTAGGAAGAGCTTACATGAGGTAAAATTGCACCAAGCAAGATCTTGGGTAACTTGTTTTTAAAAAGAGGGGATATGGAGTCAGCGAGACCTCCATTTCATTCATTCAGCCCGGAGAAGAGCAGATCATAACTCACCACAAACCACTTGTCTTCCTCGAGCTGGCGTTTGAATTCGCATTCAACCGGGAACACGTCGATGTATCCACCAAGCTCTCGGTCTTGGTCTAGTTCTATCAATAACTGACGGGCAAACGGATCGTTTCCAATGCATGAGAATTGGAACGATATGGCTATCAGTTGAGTGTAAATATTAGAGGCAAAGTATATCATCAAAATCCCATGACCGACTAACCGTCGAACCCTTTACCTGCTTCTTGACGTTCATTCACACTATCTTGAATAACTTTTTTCAGACGGCCTCTCCTCTCCCCCTCAACCTGTTTTCAAATAGTTATTATATAGCTATAGAAATTCAAGGGGGAGGACGTACCACGCCATCGGTAACAATTAGCACTAGTAATGGCCTGACCTGTTTCTCGTTTCCGGTTACAAATAAGTCCAAAATCTTCTGCTTGAGTTCCGTTCCTATTCTTGTCGGGCCTCCATATTTGTGCTGATCCAGATATTCTTTCGACTCCCCGGTCCAGTTTTTTTTACCTTTATGACCGTTCATGAAGCGCATAGCAAGGATACCGGACTCATTTGCCAACTTATAGATGTCGGTGATGTGGTCGATATATTGTATCAGACATTCCTTCCTTTTGCCCTCTTCCTCGTAGATCATGGAATCAGAGTCATCTGACCATTCAACCTATAAGCGAAACAAATACTAAGGAATACGTATTAGCATCAGGACATACCAATTAATATAGCCATATCATAAAGTGTCAACACAGTTAATTCTTTCGCGACTTCATAACCGCATCCCATCTCCAGAATCAACCTTCTCGCCATTATCTCTCCCCTTTTGATTGCTACTGCCAGGCTTTTGTTTAACTCCGCTTCAATCTTACCATACATGTTTTGCAAGCCCATTCGGTGGTTCAAGATCAGATATTTGAGGTATGCGCCAATCTCATTGGTGTCGGGAATTGCCTTCTGGGTCTTGATTTCATCCTCCTCTGGATCTTCTACCACATAGAATTTTGCCACCGGTTCCTGTACCATAGGGTTTTGATCGCCCATGTTTCCTTTAGTGGTGGTCAAATGAATCCCTCAGTTGCGTAGCTGGTTGGAGTGAGAAGAGATTTGTACCTTCTATGAAAAGGAAAGGAAAGGCTGCACGTTGAGAGCGAAATAAACTCTCAGAAGGGTAACCCAAAATTCCCCTCCACACATGCTCAGCCTCTCACACACCACCCGCCCATACGCGTATCGTACCTCTCCTACACGCTGCCCGCTCGTACACCCATTCGTATTCACAATTATACTACCAGGATTACGCTACCATCACCTCCTTTCTGATAGGGACTATCCCCCTTGCTAATGTGGCCCGAACGACTGCTCCGCGCATTTTCCTGACCGATTTCCCGGTGATGTTTTGCACTATCAAGCTCAAATATATCTCGCCTAGCCTTGGGAACTATGCCATTTCAAAAGTCTCCGGACACCAGGAGGTGCACTGAAAACCTTCCTTGGCCTCCTGGTGTCCGGAGACTTTTGAAATGGCATAGTTCCCAAGGCCGGGCGAGATATACCTCATCAGCAAAAATAACAACTTGTGTCTTGTGCACCCTGTAAGTCAGACACTCCAGACACTCTTAACATAAACTCCAAATCTGAATAAATCTGCATGGACCTACTATATTTGTATACAGCTTAATATTTTTTGTATGTACAAGACGGAACTTGATACACCTTGGATGACTCTTCTTCCTTTAGTATGTATATCAGAAAAAGAAAAAATCCCTACATTCTGAAAGCTAATTTGCATTTACATATTTCTGTACATTGTATGTGTCTAAAGTACATTTGAATAATGTCTAATTAATGTAATTTGATACTTGCAAAAATAACAAAAATATTACTTTTATAAATGGATATAAAATTTACATCCAATTGGGTAAGATCTAGACACATATTTGTATTTTGAAAATAAAGTTTGCAAAATTCAAACAAAACGATCATACTACTTCGAATATCAAAAGTGCACAAAATAATTGTTCATTGACCGAGCTTTTTAGTGTAACTTGTTAGTTATTCTTGTCTTAATTATAGTGTAAAGATTCCCTAACACAGTAGCAGGATATAGCAAATACACTCAGCATATATTCTAGATTCCTCTTAATACAAACTTATACTCTAGATAAAAGATTAATATTTTTTTACTAGTAGACTGCCTGGACTCTACTGCTTTAGATATATTAGAATCCTGGGTATACTTGTTAGGTATATGGAAGTGCACAGACTCTGCAGTAAGGAAGCTGCACATAGATTCTTATTTATCAAATCTGCCAACACCCTCCCTCCCATCCTATCATGAGGTTTGTATATCCTTACCAAGATTTGAAAAGTTGTATCCCATGACCATAATGTTATTTCAATGAAGTCTACCCCATAATATCATATATATTACTGCCGTCTGTCCAAACAGATGCTGTATACAGGATATATAAGAGAAAACCTCTAGGTACCTCAAATAAGTAGAATGAAAGAAATCCATCAGAAGCACTTTGAATTATTAGGTTTTAAAGTTTAGTATCATGACTATGTGCTGAAAATAACAGGAGATTAGTTGATCCCAGATATAGGATTCCTCTAGAAGCAATTTGCTAGAAGGCAAGGTAGACCAAGAAGAAGTTGCTCAGACTCAGAATATCTAATAAGGAGTAGACATAAAGTATTAGTATAGTATATATCAGATGTACATTATGCATAGGTGTTGGACATATAAGTTAGCCAATTTATGAATTTAGAAGAAACTGCTGGAATAATAGTTAATTAGAAAGAAGTTTTATGAAAATGTCAATTTGACTCTGTAAATCAGAGACTGCCAGTGGAAAGATGAAAGTATATTCTTTAATAGAGAAGATTATATTGAACAGGAGTTCGAAAGTGGTATAAATAAATTTAAGATATAACAGTAATAGCCAGTTCCCCTCCTATTTCGCTGTCACTCATAGTCGGGCAAAGTAAAAGTGATGCCAAAGCAAGTGTGACGCTTCAAACCTTTTTGAACTTTTTTTATTTTTACCACTTACAGGCCTTCACAATACTAGTATTAATTAGATACATCATTTTTTTTAAGAGAATACAAAGTTTCAATTTAAAGTAACAAAATCATTATTTTCCATAATTGAGTCAGTGGATATAGAGGAAGAATCATCAGAATCTGATTCACTACTCAAATCTTCACCTTCACTTCCAATACTAGTATTGCCATAATATGTATTACTAATCTTCCTCCCAGCTCTATAAATTCTAACTGCTTCTATGTCCTCCTCAATCTCTTATAATTGTAGATCAATCACACTACCAGGAATACTTCCTGCTGGTTGTAGCAGCAAGAGAGCTTGCATTAAATCTGGTGGTATCTGAAGTGACACAAGGTCATCTGGGCTTGGGTTCTTCTCAGAGTCAGGAATTGGGATCAGCAACTCAGTTAGAACAATCCTACCCTGACCTACAATCTCTTGTACTTTTTTTTCTCTCTCTCTTTCCATCTTTCGAGCATTAATACCATGACTGTTTAGTGCACTCTTGGCTTTATTCATAACCATATGGATATTCATCTTCACATTCTTAATTGTGGTAGCTTTTTCCTTCTCCTCCTTTTCCTTCTTTCGAAGTCTGGCACCCTCAGATGTAATCATACCTCCTTTTTGCACTATGCGGTGGGAATTGGTTTTAAGTCTTTGGTTCTCGAGAACTTGGGCTTGAATAGTACGGTATTGTTCCTGCTGTAGTTGTGCCTGAGTTAGAACAACCTCAGTACTCTTGGCCCATTGTTAAAATCGCTTCTTAGAAGTGGGACTAAAACTCTCAGCTCGGTCAATTCACTCTCCTATGCCTCACTGGCGCTCAAAGTATATGCTGGGAATTTTCAGGAGCTCTAGCCTCTCCATATCATCCATTGACGCCTTTATAGCTAGATCTTCAATTTCTTGACTACCATGATTTTGGCTATCAACTGGAATTGACTGTCCTTTCCTTTTACTATCATAGTGGCGCATCTTTTTTAAAGCATTTTTAAAAGAAATAGGAAACATTCCAGAATCCTTGAAGGAGTTTTTGATAGTATGTGGTTGAAAGGTTTGTTCTCAGATAGAACTCAAGTCACAGAAAAAGGAAGAAATAGTACAATCGATATCAAGGGAGTGAAGTGCAAGTTGAATTGCCTTATTATGATAGTGCTTCCATTGCCAAAACACTCCAACACCTAGCAGCTGTAGGACATGTGTCAGATGAGAAGGAAATTGGAAGGGAACAATATGGTTCTCATAACACTTGATTGTAAACTCATCAGTACAATAAGAGACATGTCCATCGAATAGAAGGATGTGCCAGTGTTCATTGGGGCCAGCATTAGCATACTTGATAAAGTAATCAAGCCATTTGAGAGCAACATTCTCATTTGTGTATCCTGTTTCTGATAGTGCAATTACCTCAGCACCTGTCAAGGTATCTTGTATCCAGTTCTCCATAATCTTTTCTCCTGTACAGATAATAACAGGTGGCAATGGTCGGCTACTGTTGGCATTATATAGCCTCAATAATTGTAACAGACTTTCTATTCTCAGGACTTGCCGTATAAAGCTCCTTGACCTCTGTTGGAACAATAACAGTTTCTCCAGTGAGACATCCAACAAATACCCCAGACTCATCTATATTGAAGATGTATTTTCCTCACCTGATTCTATATTTTGAGAGAGTGTTTTAATACTCAACAAAAAAGTTGTGAAGATCTTCTGTATGGCTAACTATTTGGACACGGGCGATAGGCTTTGTATTAATAGTATGGAGATCTGGATTACTCTTAAGCCACAGCTGGAACTATTCTCATGATGGCGGGCCTAGTTGCTCTGCTTGTCGAAGATTGCAGATAGCTGTATAAATGATTGGTGGTGTCGATCCGAATCCCATCTTAATCTGCTCAAAGCAGTAACAAAAAAACAGCTTTCTGTTATTCTGCTGTCAAAATAACATTATTTCCTTCATAGTGATTGAGAATACGATAGGTGTTATGCTCTTGATTATTCAGACACAACTGACGTATTGGAATTGATGATGCTTTAACATGAAATATTCGTGCTACAGTACTAGCCTTCTCAGTAGGCTCTTCATCAAGCCATTCTAGGATACAATCTAAGCACTCTTTCTCTTCCATTGAGTTAATCAGATTCGACATGGTAATTTGTGTAGGAGGTAAAATTTGGTTATTGTATTTCAATTAAACTGAGTTGAAGGAGGCAAGAATGTATGAATGGAGTCTACTTGTCAATTATTATTTCTATATCTTATTTAAGGTATAATAAAAGTCATACAATTGAATATAATACTATGAAAGCTGTGGTAGAAAAATACAATTTTTCTTTTTTTGAGGCATCACACTTGCTTTGCCCAACTATAAGTGACAGCAAAATAGGAGGGGAACTGGCTATTAATTTCACTTATTAAGATTGAGGACTATTGTATACATAATTGAGAAAAATACTTTGTTGCATAGTTGTTAAGTGAAGACAATCAGTATAGACTTAGAATTGTCAAAACCAATGAAGATTCATTTTGTAGAAAGAAAATTGTCTTAGAAGGCTGAAAAAGAATTACTTGTTTTGTGTATAACTAATAAGAGTAAACTAAAGTAGAATAGAATCGTATAAATTATATTATATTAAGTTCACTTCTGTATTGCTTGATAATATCTAAATACTTAGAAGGCACTTTAATATTTATATTCCATGTTTGAGTTTTCACAGACTACATCTATCTCTCATACAATTTATGTACCTCTCTGACTATAACTCGCAATGTCAGGTATTCTCCAGAAGTACAAAAACTCTGAGGCCCTGAAAATCATTACACTCTTTTTAGTAATTACTATTTTACCAATTGGGAGACTGTATTGTTCCCAATAGTAATTATCCAATATTAAGAGTTTTTAGACTTATGGACTATTTCTTAAGTTACACTGTATTGATCCTAATTGTCTCTCCTATCTATGAAACGATCAGTTGCATCTAAGGGTAGTATCCACTATAGTAGTCATATATGCAACCATTTTAGGTCACCAACTTTGAACCTCCAAAACTCCTAATCCAACAAACAGATAT